TTGTTTGAGGTTGATTGAGATCATGAAAATCCCATAAAGGGTTTATCCATGGAGTTGGCAGTGCGGAGTTGTACGAAGATACCTCTGGGCGTTCTGTACCGTACAGTGAAGGTGCCAAAAACATACTGCTCAGCCCCCCGAATATTATCAACCCGTTGACGATGTAATCAGTAATATTGTGCTTGCTTGGTTTGTAGATGGGAACCGGGCTTTTGTTTGGAACGGACACCTTCTTGTGCTTCATAACTGGACTTCGCGAACTTCGTGAGCGTTTGAGAGTGATATGACCGGCCGAGAATCGTCGACTATGTGATCTCACGGCAAGAGCTGGTCGAAAGCTATTGCGTGAAACGAAGAGCTTAGCCAAAAGCATTGCGGAAACCCTTGGTGAAGGAACCTTCGAGATGTGAGAAGTGAGTGAGGCTGACGAGGAATGGTAGCGGTGGTGTTGGTCATGACGTGTTAAATAAGAATTGGTCAGCTTACGTTGCTTACTCAACTTACTGTTACCAACGTCCCTTACGGGTCAACATGATCATTGTGCATTAGGTAGACCAATCACATGGGAATGGTGAGCAGTACCAACCGGAAAAGTGCACAACGGATTGAGAAACAATTACACCAATCATCGAGGTACACGGTACCGTATTGTTCCATGCGTATGATGCCTGGATTTGTGTTTACACCAAGGCGATTTCATTCTTTTCAAGACATCCACACCATGACAAAATTTTGGGCGACTTCTTTGAACAACTTCAAGATTTGCCGTGATGACGAAATTTAGATGCTACTAGGGAATGACAATAAGACTTTCCACTTATGAACTCCAGCGCCGGCCCAGAAGATACAAAACCCAGACGCCTCTTCCTAAAACCCAGTCGACGCTACCCAATGCTGTTGTAACCTTGACCCATATGCTTCATTTTTCAAACCGTCTAATCATCCTTGGACACTCTGCGGGGTCCTGCTAAAGCTAAACGGCCTCCAAGAGCGTTGTCGCGGCGCAGGCTTCGTTGCTCCCGCCATCGTAGCCAAAAAGGCCGGAGACAGATCAGCTCCCGACATTGTGATCTCGGCGCTCTTGGACTTCTTCTTCCGCTCTTGCCTCTTCGCCTTGGCTTCCTTCTCCAACTTCAGAATCTCTTTCTGCTTGCTGCCGTCTTGTCTGAGACAAGCATCGACGACCGACCGCATTGGCATGACCTCAGCTCCGGCCATCTCCCTTGTGGGCCAGGGGAAGGTAGCAGCCATTTCCTGAAGACTAATGGGATCCATCTTGTCCAGAATGTCACGGAGCTGGGATTCCAGGTTCGTCTCCTGCTCGAAGGCCCAGTCGGGACGCTGCTGGATGCGAACGGCATCGCGGCGCATTGTGCCGACGAGCCACTCCATGGCGACGTGGTGTGGGATGAGGCGGGCGTTCTCCATCAGCCAAGCCATCATGTTCGGGTCGCCGGACTGCTTGACGATGGGCAGGCTGCGGCCGCCGTGCTCGCGCTGCTGCAGCTTCTGGAGGAAATCGTCGTACATGCCGAGAGATCCGACTTGCAGGCCAACGAGATGGCCCCGGTTCAGAGCTTGGGCAACCTCGTCGGCCCACGCGATACCTGCCTTCATGCCAGAGTTGGCGCCGCGGCCGGGCCAGAAGTGGACTGTCATGGCAGCGTCACCGGCTAGAGCAACAAGTCCATGGGGACGGTGCAGTGCTGAAGAGTCGCATTGGGGCAGCTGCTCGACTGCCTTGTTGATCCGGCGGACGACGATTGGGATCCGGACGATGTTGGTGACTTCGCACTCTTTGAAGCCATAGAGTTCGAGGCCGTCGAGGATGGCCTTCCAAAGGGGACTGTTGGGGTCGCGGGACGGAGCGAAGACTTGGTTCTCTTGGAACCCCTCTGGCAGACGACCACCCACCTCTAGGCAGCTAGGCTGACCAAAGGTGCATGGGTGGCCGTCAACAGAGACCATCTGGTCCCACTCAGCTTCAGTAAGCTGCATGTTTAGGTACCCCGTGCCGTCGAAATCGCTTGCATTGAGCAGATAACGCGTCTGACCCATTGTCAGGAAGACGTTGATAGGCTGGGAGCGGGGGAGACCTCGGGGTCTATCGAAGGCCACCCCAAGGGCGTAGCTCTTGCCGACCACCGACTCTTGTCCCTCGAAGTAGGAACCGCGAAGCCAGGATCCGGCGCCATCCGCACCAAGCATGATGTGGAAGTCGCCATACTGTGCGAGGTTTTCCCTGCGGACCTGGCTTGCATGCAGAAAGATGAGGTCGCGGAACTGGCTGTCTTGAGCGCGACGAAGGAGACCGTCTTCGAGCTTGCGGATTTGGAGGTTGCTCGACCCTGGCCAGACTCGCTCGGGACAGCCACCAAAGACGGCGAGTCTAGTTCGTTCGCTCATGAGATCGGTGACAGAGTCCTGGAGAGTCACGACTTGGTCGCGGCGGCGAGCGCCTGGTGGGTAGTTGACGAACGAGCTGCCGGGCTGCTGGACCCATCGACCCTCGTAGATGTGGACTTCGACCTTCGTTCCGGCTTTCTCTGCCAGTGCAATTGCCGATGCGAGACCGGTGGGACCACCGCCAACAATCATAACCTTGAAAGGGGCGGCTGGATACGGGTATTCAACAGAATCCTCGGGGAGTTGGGGGAGGTTGCGAGCAACGGAGGGGTCAAAAAAGAAGTCGCGGACAGGTTTGGTCTTAGAAGAGATGAGCGCTTGGCTCTTGATGAGCATGAAGCGCACCCATTGAAGGAGTGGGCTTGTGTTGAAGCTGGCATGGCGGTTGCTGAAAACGCGCTGTTGTACCGCAGCAGCCAGAGATGCAACATCTCGGTGCTTGGAGTTGGAGGCGATGCATCTGAGTTCGGTGTTGATGGCGACATCGTCCCCTCGGTAGAAGAAGAGGAAAGCCTGGGCTCGCTCGAAACTGGACTGGCCTGCGGCCTCCCATGCAGCCTCCCATGCACGAGGGAAGTGGATGTTGTCGAGGTCTGTAGTGGGGAAAGGGAAGGATGTTCTTCTGGAAAGGTCGGGGCTGGGGAAGGAGGACGAAGATCCAGATGAGCTGGACAAGCTTCGGATGGAAGTTCTGGAAGGCATGTTGTGTATGTGTGAAGGGAAATAAGAGTTGAATATGGTTAAGTCGAAGAATGAGACACAGCACAGCACAAAGTCGGAAGGAAAATGGTGGTTGAAAATATGCGATTAGATCGAAGAAAATGCGAAAGCAATGAACCCCGAGAAGAGACAAAGGAGAAATAGGAAATGAGATAGGAAAAGTGAAATGGAATGCTGAGAAGTGCTTGATGCTCTGTGAGATGAGAAAGTGCATTTTTACCGGAGCATCCCTCTCTCTTTATACATCGCAACAACCACCTGGGAGAAGAGTCACGATAATAGCCTCAAATCCTCACCTTTGAGACTGTACTCACGCCACAGGTTGACATGAAGGCAGTGCCAGCGAACAGGCACTGCCCACGGTAGCACACAACTCCATCCTTCGAGTCTCACCGCATCAGCCCTACAGACGGGAACAGCAAGTCGTGTTATCTCAAACGCGTGGGAAAGCGGGGTGTTCGTGGCTGGTCAGCTGCATTGCATCTTGGGCTTCTTCTGCATGAATGGGTTTTGCAGTGGAGCTTGAATCATCTCCGCCGCTGCGGCGTCCTTTTTACACACCTGATGCCCCGTACTCTGGAAGGATCGCGTGCGCGAGAAGACAGGGTTGTACGGAGGGATGCGGTCGCTTGGAGCTGACCGTCGAACGCCGCGTTTCTGCGTCAATAGTATCAAAACGGGACGGGCGCGGAAGAAGCCCGCCGATATCGCGAAGGTGGACTCGCGGGGGCGGCTGTGTTGGCCGACTAGATGTCGGGTCGACCCGAAATAGATGGACATGAAGTTGCCCCAATGGGACGAACCGCTGCAGTGAGGTCGAGCTGGCTGGCAAGGACTTCCGTCTGAGGGAAGTCATGGCTGGACACACCTCGGCTAGATCAAGCCGCGAGGTCGCTTCTTCACCGGTTGCTGTTGGCTACTGATTGAAGTTGGCCGTAAGCCCTCATCGGCAGGATCACTTGGCCTTGGGCTGCAGCGTGGGGTAGCATTCTATCTCACCCAGCACGAAGACACGTCATGTAAATTTAGTCGGGCGCAGTTGACTGGTCGTACTTACTGCCTAGACAGGCATCTGTGGCGCTGACCCTTGTGCGTGCATGCGGGTATTGACTGCAAACTGGCGGACAGCATTTTTCGCGGTCGAAACCTGGCATAATGTCCACGGTGCTTCGGTTTCTAGGGCAGTGCTTTCGACTCATACCGCAGCCTACGAGTGGCTGAGATAGGCAGCATCATTCAAGGAATTATTTCCTAAACGTCGAACAGAAATTGCCGCCGCAAGAGGGATCGATGTATCCGTCTTGTTCGTGAGACGCTGTGGGGGCTTCCACGATGGTGTTGTTGTTGCAGTTGTCAGCTTCCGCGGGAAGATCGGCAGGAACACAATTCGATGCAGTCCAATCATGTTGACGCTCCTGCTGACGCTGCTGTCGCCCAATGACCAGCCTGTGAGACACTTGCACAGCAAATCGCAGTGGGTTTTCGTTGCCCCATCCTTTGCCCGACCCCATTCCATCATGCTTTGCTTTGCGTGTAGGTACGTGGAGTTGGGCGGAATTTCCGCAGCTGGTCGTCTTTCATGTAGCCCTCCACCCCCATATCAGCTTCGAAGCAGCACCTGATCAATACATCAATCGGGTTGCGAGTAGCATTCCCGACGCAAAGGTCGGCGATGTCGGATTTTTGAGTATCTGTCCAACTGATCACATTATGTCAGACTATTCCCCAGAAACGGCACAGAGAAGACATTGGGTATCTTGAATGGTATAGTACACGGAGTAAATGCTCGAGACGATGCGAAATCAGGTTTAGGCCATTGCCAGTTCGTTGTTCGGTAGCCTGGTAGGTGCCTGAGCGATTGTTAGCAAAAGGAATCATGGCATAGCTACCGAACCAACATCCAGCCCCGTACTATCCGCCATCAGTTTTCGGAACCCGACTCCAGCGCCTTCGATAACTGCAAACAAGGGGGCGCACCTCACAGCGCCTGTTCTGGCTGCGCGGGAGCCGCCACGGATTGCCTGAGTGCCTCCAGTTATGAATCCTGCTCCAATGGCGTTCCATGCATCTGCTTTTTGACGTATCCCCTTGATCGCGCAATCGTATGTGCTGTACATGCCACCCCGGACGCCAAAGTTACCTGTTACCACAGGGGTACGCATCTTGATCGCAGAGATAGCGCCGATTCGTCTCTCGTCGTATAAACTGTGACGGAAGACCCTGATTCCTTGTCAGACTGTTCCACCGATACTCCGGAAAGATGTGAGTTATAGAAACTAATCAGCACGAAAAGGTAGGAATTCACCCAAGTCACTATACCTATAGTCGACTGGTCACTATCTTCAATAGCAACACTGTGCTTTGTATCAAGACCGTTGTTTTATTGTCGAGCTTTTACCAACAAGCCCCCGAGCTCATGCACAGTCTTGTGCTTACTATATGGCTGTTCCTGGTTGGCCCGGATATCGTGTGCTTCTGGCGCGCATATTAACCTACCTCAGCTTATAAAGTCTAGATACTGTTAGAAGAGTCAAAGGAGCGTCTCACAATCACCATAAAATTAACAAAGTCACCATCATGTGTCTACTTTGAGCGTTCTTTCGGAGCTTCCGGTCTGGAGAATGTTCCCTGTGATGTCCTGAGAATGATTTACCAGCGACGTGCCGCAAGAGAAAAGGTTTGCCTTGCCGCACCGCAACTATAGCACTTCTTAACTGGAATCCGCAAGACAATAAAGTTGAGTTGTCCTAGCCTTTTCTGGGCGCTGCAATTCAGTCTGGAGATCAGACGGAACCTCGTTGACGGCCCGCGCTGTGGGTACGATTTTCGGATCCGAGGCGCTAATTGGTGCCGGCCTCAATTACGAGATCGAAAAGGTGTATAAGAACAAAACAAAAACAAGTCGAGTGGCATAAAGAGAATCCGAGATGGAGGTTCGAACCGATGGTCCCAGCCTCACACACAGAAGTGTCAATCCCATAGCCTCAGTAGCCCCCATACCACAGACCAGTTACTTAGACATCTGTGGAAGAGGAGTGACGCAGTGCCACCATTCCCCGATACAAGTACCACCGGGCACACACAACCTTCCCCCTAAACGCATCGCTCGACTTCACGCGACGAAAGGGTTTCGATGATTGAACATAAAGAAATGTCATTGCCTATGACCATCGGGATAATGATCCCCGGTATCTGTCTTAGAAAAAAAGGAAACCCTGAACTCCGTCCAGCCCTTTCGTTGAGGGCGTCATGCCATGACGAGTGCCAACCCCCATCCCCAACGCCAATGCCGTGAAATGCCAATAATCCATCATTTATCCAACAGAATCTCCAATGCCCCCCTTAGCAGACATCCAAAGTGGGGCACGCCGATTCCACAATCCTCAACGCGTGGTTCGGCTTCACCATGCGTTGGAAAGTACTCGCGCCCCTCTTCTCATTCCTCTTCACCTTCGCAGTCTGCTCTCCACCCCCCAGCAACTGCTCCCTCTCCTTCTCCACAACTGCGTCGACAAACGCAAGCTTCTCCCGCGCGTCCGCCGCCGCAATCTTCGCCGCCTCCTGGATCGCGCGCTCGCTGAGTGTGAACGGCGAGTGGAACAGGTAATCGCCCGGCGTGTCGCAGGCAGAGAACCCGCCGTCGACCTCGGGCGTCTCGCTCGTCTTGGCCCAGATGCAAGGCGTCCACGTCTCGGCGAAGTATACGCCACGGTCCTGCTCGGTCCTGTTCCCGCGGCCGACGGAGTCCGTCAGCCCGTGCTGTCTCATTTGGCGCTCGACGATGGCTTCCCTGACGAACTCGGCGTGGTTCACCTGCGCGCCCACACGGCGAGGAAAGGGGACGCGGAGGGCGTCACCTTCGGCGGGGGGCTCCATGCCCTTCACGGCGCGGCGCAGCTTGGGCGAGCGGCGCTGGGAGGCGGGGATGTATCCGAACTGGCCGCGCTCCTCGCCCTCCTTGGGCTGCGGGTCGGCGGTGCGCGTCCACTCGTCCAGCCGGCCGCGGATCTCGGAGTTCCAGCGGGACGTGAGGTGCGCGGCGTTGGTCATCTGCTCGGCCTTGGTGTGCGGGCCCGGCGGGCTCTGTCTCTGCGCATGCCATCCGGGGGTGAGAGAAACATCAAAGATCTCGGGGATGACGACCCTGAAGTTCTCCACCTCGCGCTCGTCAACCTCGCCACCTTCAGTGTCCATCGCGTTCAGCTTGTCGATGAGCTCGGCGCCCTGGTAGGCCCAGAAGTCGGAGAAGGCGACCGAGTTGGTGTCGAGGGATGCCTGGTAGACGCGCTCGACCTGCGCGAAGAGGGCGCGCACGGCAAGGTCGACGATGCCCTGGCCGAGGTCGCGGGGCAGGGCGGCGAGCGTCCAGACGTCCCAGGTGCCGAAGCTGAAGACCCAGATGGTCTCCTTGGGGAGGTAGCGCTCCTGGGGCTGGGCGAGGAACTGATCGACCTGGGCGGCGAGGTCGGCGATGGCGTCGGCGAGGGGGAACTGGTCGAGGATGAAGTCGTAGTCGTAGCCGGGCGCCTTCTCCTGCTCGAGCTCGCGGAGGACCTTTTGGAGGGTCTCGTTGTAGTGCTCATGGGCGGTGAGGGCCTGCGCGGGGAGGCTGATCTTGGGGACGAAGGAGTGGTGGGCGGAGCAGCCGAGCTGGGCCATGTTAGTCACACGAGAATCTTCGGGATACCGAAACAGCTTACCTCCTCGCAGAACATCTCGGTCCATCCCTTGCCCTTGCCGGTGACAGGCGTCGCAATATCGGGAGATCCAAAGGCGACGACTCTGACGCCACCAGCCAGGTTAGCATCCTCTGAACTGCCGCCGAACGGCGACCACGACCACTTTGGTGCGTTCATAAGGTCTGATGACGATGAAGTGAAGAATCTGCCCAAAACGATGAGGGCGAAGAGGGCGAGGATGACTTGGATGACGAAGCGCGGGCCGCCGCGGAGCACCCGTGTTGAGATGAAGCCAAGCAGTGTCTTGAGGCTCAGGTTACAGTCGAACGGGCTTCCGCCGCCGAGACCGGACGGGGAAGAGGACCGCCGCTCGTGGCGGGGGAGTTCTTTCGACATGATCTTTGCGGTGTCGTTGTGTCGGTTTGGTGTTGGTGATATGGCCCTCAATATGGGGGTTTTCGTCGGTTTTTGATGTGGTGATGAGTATCGATGGTCTAAAAGAAGGCGTTGTCCGGCGATGTTCTTTCTTCGATGGTTCCTTCCCTTTCTTTTTCCCAATAAATCAATCTGCTTTGATGCCTTCGCTGAGTCGTCGATGCTTAGTCGTCGATGTTTCTTCTCTATCCTTCTCTATACCGCGCGGTAACACCTCAGCTGCCCAAATGGGAAGCCTGTCGTGTGCTGACGTTACAACGTTTATGGTGGTACAGTGCCAAGCCGGCAGTCGAGAGACAACAAAAAGTCAATTGCTGCCAAGAAAAGCGAGCCGGGCGGGACGGCGGGAATGTTTGGGCTGGCGACCGGATGATCTCGAAGCTTTTTTTGTTTGGCCTGGGGTACGTTCTAGAATGTAAAAAAAAACACAGACAAGAGAACAAACAAAGAAAAGAAGGAAGAGAGATGTAAGAAGTGATCGTCACTGTGGGCGGGTATGCAGTGAATAAGGGTTTTGTTCAGAAGGATTGGCAGCAACGGAACATGGCAGAGAGCCGACGAAGACGGGGAAGATGGTGACTTCAAAAAGGGCCCTCAGACCCTCACTCGGCGCGCATCAGACCAGGGGAGGGGGAGGGAGGGGGGCATATGGTGTGGTTCCCTTCTCCAGTCTTTTTTACTCTCACTTCCCCGTCCCTCTTACGAAGCGGGATGTGGCCCAGCAGCGTTTTTGTTCTGGGCGCAGTAGCTACGGTACACGTACGTGGTGTACATACAACCCGTCTCCTCGTCGGCAGGCTACGGCTACGGCTACGGGGAAAATAATACCAAAGGGCCATCTGGCGCTCATTGCTATTTGGAGGCGAAGCCGCAAGGAGACATTCACCGTCATCCCGGCCGCATACAGACAGTGATTGGACGGGGAGAAGGGCGGGAGAGGCTTTTCGCCAGGCGTCTGATGGCTTGTGCTGCCTCCGAACGTCTACAATCCCTAAACCTGGGATGAACCGGGGAGCGAGCTCCAGTTGCTGCGGTGGTGGACGTTGCTGAACATCCTTGCTTTGATGTGCAGTCGTCGTAAGCTCAGTGGGGACCGTCATCTGAACGGGGGGTGAGGGTGAACGTCTGTGTGGCTGCGGCTTTGCTTTCCCAGGTGCCAGGGCCCTGCGACGGGGGGGCAGCCGGGCGGGAGAGCCGTATGCAACGGCGGATTGACGAGGAGAATCAGGGGGTTTTGCAGACATACGACGGGAACACGACGTACATCCGTCAGAGAGGCTGGCGGGTTGGCGGCAGACACACAGCATTGAGTGGTTCAGGTCTCCATTGCTGCTGTTGCTGTATGGATGGATGTACTCTTGTGTGTGCGTGTGCTGTGTTTCGATTCCGTTGTATCCGTGTTACCATTTCCTGGGCGTTCCGCCGGCCCTGAAGAGGCGCTTGTCTTGGACAGTAGCGCGTACCAATACCCTTTTTTTCTTCTAAAGAAGTCGGCGTGGCTGGAGTCTAGTCTGCTTCCGGGCTTGAACGGCTGCCGATTGCCGGGAATGAAGAGCACGTATTATTGCCGTTTGGACAACGCGCAACCTCCCGGGTCTACCATCAACAGGAGGAGAGAGAAGCAGCAGGCTCATCATCATCATGCTGCAAAATACGCATCGACGGGTCATGACTTGCCAAGGTCCACATCCCGAAGGTTCCCCACGTCCGCTGCGCGGCGACTCCATTTCCCGCCCAAATGGATGGGATGGGTTCATTCACTGCCACTGCCCATCACTCCGGTGTACGGTAACACGTCACGCGAGTACCTCCGCTGTTGAGTCAAGACCGTATCGACGAAAAGAAAGGAGGATGGCAGCGCGAGATATTGCCGATGCACCTCCAGGGTTCTTTGCCAAACCCAAAATCGCAGTTTAAAATTGAGCTTCGGTCTGTGGCGCTCGTGTGCTTCCCCAAAGAACACGGCCACTCTTACTCTGTACCGGTCTTGAGTCTTGAGTCTTGACAAGCTTGGCTGGCTCCTTGGGAATGTTTGTATGCAGTAATAG